TAAAACACACGTCTTCATTGTAAAATCAAAACATTCATTACTCTGCTAAGCATCTAAAATAATGTTTATAAAAGTCACCTTCACCGGGGTGGAAAAATAATTTTATCGTCACTTGTGTTGTGCGTATAGTGTATAGTAATGATTTGGCCAAAATTTAGGATTATCCTTAATTTTAAAATAGTTGTTCGTATAATATATTATGTGTCTATATTGAATTGAATTTAATTATAGTATATCATATAAAAATAACATTAGTGTTCATACTAAATAGTGAAACTTATATTTATACGTATTATTTAAGTAGTTATTACTTGAATAATTTGTTTAATCCTCGTTTCAATTAATACATTTATCGATAAGATTAATATTTGATGGACTTAACTAGCCAAGAATCCATTATCATAATTGAGTGACTACTTCATTAGTTCATCATCTAACTACCCATTATGAACCACARCTAGCAACACTCTCGTTAATCAATCTTCAAAAACTTGAGCACATAGCTACATATTTATTGCTTGGTTAATTTCAGCATCCTCGCCACTTATTTTTTCGAGCACAATTTATTATTATGTATTTTTTTWAAATGCTGAATCCATGCTGCTAAACATAAAAACTAATTGTTTTCCTACTTTAGCCAATTTCTTCACCTTTTTTAATTTCTTGAATTATTTGTCCGTTATAACACCGATATTTTATTAGATTCTGAGAGGAGTGATGAAATATATTATTTTACAATGATGTCTTCTTATTTTTTTTGTTTGTTCCTGTCATCACTTTTTTAGACAGTAAAAATGCTTCGATTTTCTTTAACAGCATCTTTAATAATATTAAAAATTGAATCTGGTTGGTACTTCGTACTTTAGGGGAGTCAGAGGTATTTTCAATAGTTCTTAAAAATAAAAAATGAAATTTATAAGTAAAATTTGTTGCAAAATCATTTGGGTTTTTAGAGTAATTTAAAAAAAAATTACTGAATACACATGATATTTTCACTGAATGATTATATTCACATTTCTATTCGCAATTAAATTGTCAAAATATTTTTTCTCGTGTTGAACTGTTTATGCGCATATGCATTTTTCGATTATTATTAATATTATTTAAATTAAAATGTATATAACAAAATGTTTGCCCTAAAGCAAAAAACTTTGAAAGTATAATGCAAGGTTCCTCGTAAGTTTTTGTTAGTGAAAATTAAAAAAAAATTTTTTGCGTAAATCTACAGTAATTTGTTATAAGCGTTTGAATTTAGAGCCTTTAGAATATTGACAAAATTTCAAAAAAATTACAAAAACTTGCAGATTACTTTGAGTTAGAAATTCATAAAAATTTTCTTTTTATATTTAAGATTTTAATATGTAATATAAGTTTTTCTATTAGTTTTCCTAAATTAAAAAAAAAAATGTTAACCGAAAAATCAAATTAATTTTTTACGAGCGTTTGAGTTAGGCATTGGATATTGAAATGTAAATTTACAAATTCACATACAACGATTTTATTTTGTTGTTGTTACTCACAAAATAATAACTGATTATACTTGAAATTTTCATAACTATTTTCATACTTATTTCTTTGATATTTTGAATTTTTTAGTTTTGTATTATATACATGTCAATAAAATTATATTCATTGAGTAAAAAACTTGAATTACAAGGTTCTTATTAAGTAATTTTAACAGCAGTTAAAATATTTTAAAGATCCGTAAACAGGATTTTCAGCAAGTATTTAAAATTCAATTCTTTGTTATTCACGAAATTCATCAACATTTTCAAATATATTTGAAGTTTAAAAACTATAAAATGTTCAATTTTTATAGTTAATTGACAATTTAAAATAAGGATTTTCATAAATAGTTCATTCTGTAACCAGGAAATCTAAAAAAAAWTWWWAARKYMAWTTTTTTTTATAGACGTTTTAAGTTTAAAATTGGACGAAATTACATATTATTATTGTAATTTAAAAATATTATTCGTGCCGGTACTTCGGACTTAGAGAGTATGTTTTTATATTTTATAAACACGCAATGACATTTTCAAATGTAATTTTTTTGGCAAAAATATTGTATTACTTAAATAGTAAAATACTTTACTTAGGAATTACTTTTATCACAATAATATCATCAAAATATACTAACAGTCCGTCTTTTAATGAACAGCAGAGCGTTATCTACTTACCTGATTTCCTTGTCAATTTTTGCGTCACCTCTAGATTAAAAAATGCTTATTTTTTAGCAAGACTGCTGTTGGATTTAATCCTATATCAGATTATAAAAATAATGGTGTTTAACTCACCATTTTTAAAAATAAAATTACAGCTAACAAATCCGTTGTTTTATGAAGATGATAGCGCACAATGTTTTTGTATCTCTGACTTAAAGATAACATCGATATGAGATGCGACTACAAACTATATGTAAGTCATTCGTAAAATCGGTGTTTATTGGTTTTGARTAATCCCAGAACGAAATCACCTATTACAACAATATTGTAGAAAATAATACTTTTGAGGGTTCAATAGCGGATCAATTTGTATTTTTTATTTTATTTGACTGTATATTCATAAGTCAAACATTCAAAATACAATTTTCTACAATTTTTGTAATAGTTAGTTTTACTCTAAGATTAGGCACTAAAAAAATAAATGGTTTGGCATGAATGCTGCTTGTCTATTCTGTGTATGTGTCAGAGAGAGAAAATAATGATGTGGCTGACATTTTTTTAAGGTTTGACTGATAAAAAATTAATGATTGAACCTTGAACCCCACTTATACACAGCTATATTTTATTCTAACCAATTTTCTAATAACTAATAAGAGATTAATTAAAATAAAAAATAAAAGCTAAATTTTATTAACCCTAACTATTTGTATTAGGTATAAAATATTATACTTACATTATTGGCTATTTGCGCTGTATATAAGAGTTGGTAAGTATTTCACAAAAATGCGAATTTAGAAAAATATCAATTGTTTTATTTTAATAAACTATTAAAATCTATTTTGAAATTTACTTTCTTATATTTGGCTTATGTACACACAAGTTTCATTCAAGGTAGATTTTTTAAAATGTTTATAATTTATTTGTTGAAATTAACGTTTAAGTCGTAGGTACCAAAAATTAAGTACTACAATTTATATGATAATAAGTAGAATGAACATTTTAATTATACGAATTAGTATAGTATTTTTTAAATTATGTGTTGTACATTGACGGGGATGATGGTGTTATAATAACTCATCACTCTGAAGTAGGTAAGATACCTACTACGCGAAAGTTGTTACTAAATACACATATTACAATATGCTTATAGGTTATGCAGTTAATAAAAGACAACGTTGCGTGAGTTGTTGCGCTTATATATAGGTATATTATGTTTATAATATTGTGTATAAAACAGATTTAAATATAGGCCCATATAATTATAAATAATAATACTATAATATATGTGATATTGAGATGATATAGGGGTTTTGAATAAAAGTGTTTTGTATTCAAATTTGTTTGAAGATGTTATTTATAATATCTCATAATTATTATAATTACGTAATATTAATCCGATAACTGGAAGTTAAGTCATTGGACGCTCTGAAGAGCCTCTGAATGATAATGTTATAAATAATACATAGGTATCATCGAATGTTTGTTATTGATGTATTGTCACATGACATGTAATGATATACGAGTGATTACGGTTTTATAATTATCTTTTGTACAGTTAAACGGTTGGCTCGTTAAGTTACTATAATATCAACAGATTGTAAAGAGCAGTGATGATGATACACTTCTGTAATATTATAATATTATATATAATAATATAGTCGTGACTACAGATCAATGGACCGACGACTTTTTGTTTTAGATTTAATACATATCTACGTTACTATTATGACCACTGTAAACTTACAGTAATAATTTAGGTTGTGTAAAAATGTCTTTCGAAAACAAGTAGGTAATATAATTTTATTTTATACAATACTACCGACCGAATGGCATGCGATGTATAGTTGTAAATTAGAATTTAAAATATGATATAAATATATAAATGTATATCTGCCACTCCCTATACACAGTAATAATATCATGTATATTCTCGTATTATATATTAATTATTTGAATATACTCTTCTCGTGTTATTATAACTACACGGATTTATTATTTATTTATACCTTCGTTAGATTGCTTGACAGTAAATACGGTCGGTATTTGAAAAATTTCTTGTAATAATTCCTTGGAAATAAAATATTTTTTATAATATGTGTGTGTTGGGAGGCCAGGACTACCCAAATCATGATTTTACAATTGGAAAATGATAATAAAGCCAGAAATGAATTTCACGAAGGCGGCGAAAAATGCGATAAAGGTATGTACATTTTTTTTTAAAGTAGGTACAACAATATTATGTTTTTCAACTAAAATATAATACSGTTGATCAAAAATATTAGTATTTATAATCAATGATAATACCAAATTGATAGATAAAATTATACATTCTTTTTATAAATTGAATATTTCATAAGGAAAAATGTAATTATTAAGCATTTTCTATCTTGTTCCATCTTGATTATTATTGTTTCCTATATTATATGCTTGTATTTATAATCAATGGTTGTAATTAAATGTTTTTTTGGAATCTAGTAAATTAATTTAAAACCGGGAATTCTCTCTGCTTTATAGAAGGTTTCAAATATACCTTGTGCGTAATTAGATTACTGTATTGGGTTTGAATGTGTTAAATCCTTAATTTACTTATAGATTTGAATTCAATGACCTACTTGTACGAAAAAGCTGCATAGAGATAAGGGTAGATCGACATCTACTATTTTTAAATATAGCAGTTTATATTATACTATATTTATATTATCATTAATATATTTTTTAGGATGATATCATTTAAATTTCATTTTTGGCATAATGATCACAAATTAATGTGACTGAAKTATTTACTATAGAATGGCATGAATAGCATTGTATTAAATTATTCGAATTATTTTGATAATTTTACTGTGTATAGAAAATTATAACATGTGTAATGGCGGAATAAATGTATTCATGTATTATTATTAATATTTTTTTATTGATCATAATATACATCGACATATCTAGGTCATTTGTATAAGGATTTTTTTTTAAAATTAAATTATACAATTTTTGTTTAAAATAAAATAAAGTTTTTTGAGTACTGTGGATTTGGTTCCAGTTTTTGGTAGATCTGTTCGAATATGTGGAATTGGTTGCAATACTGGTTGTATTTAGGACGCTGCATGTGTCACACAACGGAGGTTCGTCTTTACTCTTCAAATAGCTGCAAAGTTAGGTGTGTGTGGCCAATTCGTAGTCGGTTTACTATGGTTTCTTCTTTTTTAATGACTTCTAGACTTTCCATTGGTTTGTTTTTAATTTTGTTTAGTAGTATTGAGTTTTCACCATTGAGAGTGCYATCTATTATTTATGAGGGAGTTAATTTCATTTTTCTTTTCGCGTTGATGAATGAGATAGAATTTATATTTGTAGTTGATATTGAGGCGATAGTGTTGTGAGCTTCTTGATCGGCTATTTCATTTCCCGGTGTGCCAATATGCCCAGGAATCCATACGATTTAGATTTGTTTCCCTTATATATTATTATCATCAATTTACGAATAGGAACTTAAAAATAAAATATTGTAAAAAGAATAACAATAGATCAGACTATGAACCAAACACAACAAAAAATCAAAATCACAATTTTTGATTTGTATTCATATTGATTTTTTATATACATTTATATAACACATAACTAAGAATAAGTGATGGGTCGAACTGTACGAATCTTGAACCAAACCGATCATCAATGGTTCGATTCGGCTTGGTTCGAAATTCGAACTCGATATGAAAAAAATTCCAACCGAACTATCAAGCATATTTTACTGTCAAAAATAGAACTTGAAAATATTTGTTAAACTAGACTTTGGAATTTTTTTTTTTTTCCTTTTGTATCAAGAGCCAGAGAAGGAACCGCGTAATTAGCTTTACTTCTCCTCTGACTAGACTTGGGACTTAATGGCCAAGATAATTCAAAGACCAAAAATTTGAACAATTCAAAAGTAATTTTTTAAATATAAAAATTGATAGTGATAATTTAGAAATAATTACCATATAATTATTCATTAATGATAATATTTTATAAATATTTTAAAAATGGATAGTAAATATGTTAAGTTCGAATTTAAGTTCAACTTAAACTGTTTCTAGATTCGGTTCGGTTGGTTTGGTTAAAAATATAAAGGTTCGGTCTGGTTCGGGTTCGAAAAAAAATTTAAAGTTCGCTTTTAACAAATTTCAATCACACGTTAAGTTGCTAACCTCCTAAGTCTGAATAATGCTAAGAAAATGTATAAAATTTTAAGATGGTATTACAGTGACCGATCCATTTTCCCTATAATTTAGGTAACCACTGTATATTTTTCTCGCCTAAATATTGCTACAATATTATGTAATTCATAAAAGTTTTATTCAATTTATTTATTAAATTCTTATAGGAAATAATCTTCTTATAACATTTTATTAATATTCGTAAAWTTAAAATTGTAGATAATCAACAATATATTTAAAAGCGGAAAGGTAATAAAGTACAAATCTGCTTATCAATTCAACCCATGTATTATTATGTTTGATTTTGATTACCTACTCTTTAATATATAGCCACTATGATATTTTTTGTTCTATTCAATATTTGTTGAGTGTTTTAACTATACATAATATGTTATTTTAAAAGAGATTAACTTTGTTAACTATCATGCTTTAACCTAAAAAAAGTTGGATTACAAACATTAATRTACATATTATAAACCAAATATATAATGTATTAAGTATTTATGTACCTACCTAATAATAGGGGGTCGTAGCTGAAAAAATTAAATAATATTGTAACTATAAGCATTTAGATACCGTAATAACTACTATATGATTACCTATATAATATTATGTGAATCAAGATTACTTTTAACATCTAGGACGAATTATTATAATAACTATGAAATGATGTTATGCTTRAGCAAAGTTTTTAGATTCATATTTTGTATGATATTTATGATATTTAATTCAATAGTGAACCAGTACATAATGTCTAAACAATGRCATTTAACTTTCAATAACAGAAAATTAGTATTGGTTTGTTCCGGTTTACAAAAGTGTTTGCATACAAATAATTTAAAAACTTTTCATTTCGTGTAAAAGCATTGAGTTCATGAGACATTTTACAAAAATAAACAATTTATCACTGTTATTTATTATATATGAAATTAATTTAATAATAGTACCTATAATATTGTTAGCACACATTATAATTTATAGGTAAGATAGAACTATACACATTAGGTATAGTACATTACAAACGCTGATCAGAAAGTTATGATTTCTATTTATAGATTATAATTTTTATTATATTTTCACGTATAAATACATTTTTGAAAATGGATATACCTAAGCTAATTGAAATTCATTATCATGTTTATTCATAAGCCATATTAGTTAGTACATTATTTAAATGTATTTACACAAAATAAAGCGTTTCAAATTGTCATACTATGTATATGACTTAATCATGCATACTTAAATAAACATATCGTTAGTTTCTAATTTTGAACTATTTGCTAAAAATAATAGGTAAAGAGTTTCTAAAATTTTAATACTTTAGGAATAATTTATTAGGAATATATAATATGAATATTTGATACATTAAGAAYTAACTATCAGTTATTTAGGCAATAGATAGATGCATTCATTTATAACATCTATAACCAAAATGTCTTAATATGCATACAGTTTAATGAGACCAAAACATTTAAAACATACTTAACTGAGTTTCAATTGAACATATACTTGAGTATATAACAAGATATATATAGCAATGACAGGTTACTAAAAACCATTACCGAACAATGTTT